ATTGGACGATTCGATGTAGTTGTCATTAATAATCAAAACATAGAATAATATCATCAAGTATAGTACAATTACAGCAAAATGTCGGTCTTGCTCTATGATCTATATTTCATTGTAGAGAATCATCACTCGAATATCACACAAAATATTGTCATCAAGGTATAAACTGCAAAAAAAAACAAAACTATCAATATGCAATCATTTGTGGTCTACAACAACAATCAACGAAATTGTCAATGAAACTACAATCAGATTACTCCAGTTATGTAGTTGACTATGAGTCAAGCTCACAAATATGAGAAAAATAGAATAATATAAATGAAGATAAGGTAACAATTTACTAAAAAAATTTAGATTAGAAAATGGAAAAGATTTTGTTGCATAAATTTTCTTATCATCAGTTAATGACTAATAAATAAAATAAAGAGAATTGAACAGACTGTATCCGTCGAAAGCAAGAAAATAACACGAATAGCTATGATTGCGTTAAGGTAACTAAAGTGACAATAGAAATGTTTGGAGTATTGTCTACAATACGCAAAATATTGACGGTCAGCATAAATATTACCGATATTCGAGCAGAAGATCATCGAGATTTTCATGCACAAATTTTTATACGAAGTGTTGTTTTGGGTTATATAATAATAAATGTGCGCAGTTCAATATGTGAAATTGATTTCATTTTTATGAAACTGCAATACATGAAATGATACTCTTGCATGATGGATATCATGATTAAATATTCTAGCAAAAGTCACTATTGAATTGATATTTGAAGTTTCGCTTCTATTCGAAAAGCGTTATGAAGGATGTTAGGTAAAACATGATTCTAATTATTACATTCTATTAAGTCTCATTTTTCTTTGAAGTGAATCGTCGTCTATTGTCTTTTGCAATTTCTGGATACTGTAACATTTTCTGTCAATTTAAATATAGTATTAAGAATTGTTAATATTTCATAATTACTAAAACCACTATAAGAAAAAACACAAACAGTTTACGTGAATTAAATAGTAAAATGTGCCTTCAAAAATATAAATAATTCAATAAAATCTCCAGTACTTCATTCTAGAAAATTAATGTTTTCATATTTGAGACAATACACAGATTCTAACCTTTGAAATCTTCTAGAATACAAAGCTCTTCATACGATTTATAATATGGTTCGTAGTTTAAATGTTTTTTTTTGTGTATTCTCTAGATGATTTCGTTGAGTGAGCAAATGGTATTTAACTTATTTTGACTTTATGTTTATCTCTCTAGAACATAATTTATTAAAGTCACTTTCTGTATTCTTGGAATTTTCTTTCGTATTGTGTTTCTTTTTTTCAATTATCTTTCAAAGTTGATGAACTATTTTATGTTGTGCTGTTTTAATTAACTTTCTTATTCCGCAGGCCAAGCTTGACAGTATATAGATGTAAAGCACTTCTACTTAGGGCAATCGAAAAGTAGTGTTGTCATGATCTTATTTCTCTATAGAAAGCTTAAAGAAATTTTCGTCCTTGATATAGTGATAGAGACAATGATGCTCTATTTTTCTGTGCTATTTGATCACTATTCAACTAATATCATAATAATAAAGTTTCAATAAGAGCTGTTTTGATGTGAAACTTCACTAGCGGATGAGGCAGGTTAAATGTTTCAACAACTTAATGCATTGTATTAAAAAAAAAAGTATACTACAAGATGCAGTGCGAGAAGCTTTACAATTTACGAAAGACGGCTTATTTTATAATTGCATTTTTTGTTTGCAAAATGAACAAAATTTTGAGCAACCAATTTTTGACCATGCGAAAACGATATTTTTTGGTACAAGATGAATTCATTTTTTTATTGCATCTTTTTCTCGTCTGATATCTTTTATTTAAGAAAAACAAAATACATCACAAGATGCCGCGTGAAAAGCTTTATAATCTACAAATTAAAGCTTACTTTAATTGTGTACTTCTTGTTTCCAAAAAGAAAAACAAAATTCTGTGCGATCAATTTTCGCTGACCCGAAAAAATAATATTTTTCTTATTTCAAATATAGAATGAACTGATCTTTTGTAAATTGTAGAGCTTTTCACGCTGCATCTTGTAGTATATTTTGTTTTTTTAATACAACATATTAAGTGATTGAAAATTGAGATGCAAACCATATTAATCTGCTCCACCCCTTAGTGAATTTTCACATCAAAACAGCTCTTATTGAAACTTTATTATTATGATATTAGTTGAATAGTGATCAAATAGTACAGAAAAATAGAGCATCGTTTTCTCTATCACTACATCAAGAAAGAAAGTTCCGTCAAGCTTTCTATAGAGAAATCAGAAAATGGAGCCACTATTTTTGGATTGCCCTAAGTAGTATACATGACGTCAATACTCATGCTTCGGTATTCAATCCTATTTTTGCTCTCTTTCACTGGGTTTCTTTATGTATGTAGATTTGTTTTAGATAGGACAATTACAATATCATTAAGATGTCGGATAGATTTATTTGTTAATATGGCTATTTATCTCATCCAGATACTTAATTTTTTAAAACTCATACTCTCCAAATGTATGCTGAGTTCTATTTTGATCATATATATTTTTTAAGCTGTGCCAATAATCGATCAAAAAAAAATTAGAGTTTAATAGCTCAGCACTTTGATACTCTTGTTCTGAATATTTCTAGCGTAATCAGTTATACTGCTTTGAACTTTTTAATCAAACAGATTCGATTAGTTAGAAAGAAAAATAAGTTGTCGAATCCAGTGTTCATTTTCACTTTGGCATCAATCATAGCTGTTGATTTCGCATTGAATTTAATTGTGTTATACATAGAAACACATTCGAGAAAGAATTTTGACATTAACAAAAAAAAGAAAAAAAAAAGTGATAGATAGCTAAGTAAAAATCCTGTAAGAATCTGCGCATTGATGTGTCTTTCCTTATCATTCATCAACATCCACACGCTCTTCTATCCTATCTTACATTGGATTTTAGTCTTAAAGGGAGATTATGTTAAGAACATTATCTTTATCGCTACCACAGCAACGACCTCAAAACAGTAATCACGTATGAAATCGTCATCACAGAGGCAATGGTATTGGTTTATATTGCTATAGATGCAAAAAATCATAATCAATTGGCAACGAAATCAAAAAATAATTATTCGAAATATTTCTGATAGATAGTAGGGTGTGGGTGTGGGTGTGATTGTGGGTGTGGGTGTAGGTGTGAATCGGGTGTGGGGGGGGGGGGGGGGGGGGGGGGGGGGTGCGGGTGAAGGACTTATTTATGCTCACACTCACACCCACATCCACAGTGACACCCACACCCACACACCCCACACCCACATTCACACCCACATCCCACACCCTATTCTCATTCCTTATTGATCCAATGAAGATATAATTTCGCAGCGGAATTCCGGAATTCGAAGCGATTCCGGAACTACAGAAATCGCTCACAATACTGCCATTAGAAGGAATTTCGCGGAATTCCTTGCGATTCCGGAATCGATGCAATCACTACTGATTCCGGAATTCCACATCGGAACTCCTTTCCTCCTCACCCTCACATTTAGTATTGTCCTTGCAGATTAATCTCCAGCTTAATGGCGCCCCCTCAAAAAATGTTAGCTTTCGTCAGAATGGTCAAGATTGAGATAAATACATGGGAAGATAGCTTGTCATTTGCTCTTTCATAAACGATAAAAGCTTTTCTTCGATACCCCCTTTTTTCCGAAAAATTTTCAATATTTTTGACGACCCCTATTCGAAAAACCGCTGGTTTTTGGAAAAATCCAAAAATCTTTTTCGTTTTTTCTCAAAATGGTGGTCGAATGACGTATCTTCAGCGAAAGTCAAGTGCAATACGTATGAGAGCTCTTTTTTTGATAAAGCTTTGTTATTATTATATTGATAAGCAATTTTATAATATGAGCGCCATTTTTTTTTAGAGGTTTTTCAGAGATCAAGCTTGTCAGGCCTTTTTTCCTCCAGAAAGATAAGAGTAAAAAAAAACAGGGCTCTCATAGACACTGCATCTGGACTGCTCTTTCAAACAAAAAAACAATCAAGTATATTGAATGAACACCCATGGAGAATTTTTGGAGACGCGATAAGCTATTTTTCGACCCTTGTTTTGTTTGTATCTCCCTTATACATCAGGATAAGAGGCTGAAAATTTTACCACAGACGTCCTTTTATAGCTCCAACATATTCTCAAAGTTTCATGGCATTTAGATGTTCCTGGGCTGAGATCGGCTTTTGAGGAAGGGCCCCCTTAAGCAAGCGATTCCGGAGTTGCTGGAAATTCCTTGCGATTTCGTAAACAGACGGAATTAGATGGAATCTCTAGGAATTGTTAGAATCGATTCCGGAAATTCTAGGAATTGGTGTAATCGATTCCGGAGTCAGATTGTGTTTCGGTTTCATCCAATTCCAGAATCGATAGAACTGATTCCTGAGACGAAACTAGTTCAGCAATGTTCAACATCGTGGAATAGGATGACTGCTCTGCTGTATAGACTATTTATAGAAAAGAGTCTATATCTTTGAATCTTAATATCTCAAAGAGATTTTGTCGTAAAGTTCGGATATTTTTATTGTAAAATTTTCTAGCTGAATCGAAAATAAGGTTGTGCTGTATAAGTAATATTCTACAGACAAAAATTATGAAAACCTCGATATCTCACTATTGTTTGATATGATAATCCACAAATAATTGTTATACAAATTTTCCAGCAGTGACATCATCAAAAACAAAATAAAAAAATGAATTCCAAATATTGTTATTCACATTGATTTTTTATATCTATATAAGAATTGAGCGTAGACAAAATTCACAACGCATCGATTGGTTTATATTTATAAACTGATAGAAAAAAGCGAGGATTTCGTTTGAAACACTTTATTATTGTAAGAAATAAGTCGCAATGAAAAATACAAAAGTCATCGAGAGAACCAAAACAGATGAAAAAATTGTAATTTAGATAAAAATTAAAATGATTTTTGATGATTTATTATTCAAAGCCAAATTTTGACGTGATGATCAATAACTGCATGAAATTCTCTTCCAACCACCGAGTCACCTAAAAGAGTATTTTCCTTTAGCCATAATTGAATATTCTTGTTATTTATATCAGATTCTTTTGAATAGATAAGATCCCATGGTAGACTAAGTTCCAAATAAAGTAAATGCTTCGAATGAATGAAACATGTGTTTACAATATCGACAAATTCTTCAAGAGAATAAATTATTTCTATTCTCAAGGATGTTAACATTGGTAAATAAAATATCACCTCTGCCATACGAGATTCATCATAACAAGCTTTTACCGAAAATCTACAATTTTTAATTGTTTTTGACGGTTTTTCCATGCAACTTAAGACATCCGAAATATCATTGTAGTCATCTCCACTACCATGGCTGCTTATATCGATAGACGTCAGATTTGGAGTTCGAGAGAAAAGTTGTTTTAGAAAAGATTCTAAACGCTTATTAAAATCCATGTAACAATCAGCACCTACTTTTATAGAATTTAATTTAGAAAAGATTCGATCAGGTAAAACCAAAGGTGAATATTCCATTGCATTTTTATCGCCATCACATGAACGAACAGTATACATATATATGGATGAAGCTCCATCAATCAATGTCGCTATTTGATGTCCATTTAGATTTCTTAACATATCATGATCTATGTCCAAATGAAATAATCTTCGCGTTTTCGTATATACGCATATGTACGAATTGTTCGAATTTGTTTGAAATACTTCAACAAACCAACCAGAAAATTGTGAAAACGATTCAATTATTTGTTGAGATATATTATTAACATTGCATGATATTCGTTCAGTCCATATTGTGCAGTCGAAATCTTGAAGATGACCAAATTGCGTACGAATAAGGTCCCATTCTCGACCATTTAAATAATCAGCTATATTTTCATTCTTCTCTACAAAACCCAAACATATTCTATATTTAAGACGTTGTAGATTAGACATCTTCATTAATAAATATGTCAATTTTTCAAATGTCGATCGATCAGGTGCCTGGAGAATTTTCATATGAAATGTGTTGAGTTGTTTTGAGGAAACGTTATCAAAAGAACTTTGAACAAAAGAGAAAAATTCAATAAAATAAATCTAACAAATTGCATTTAAATAAATATATCTGATAAAGATGTTTTCAACAAATCATCAAATAAAATATTTCTGAGAAATATTTCAAAATCTAAATTAGAAGGAATGACTTACTGTTTTGCATGAGGAGCTTCGAATTTATCAATACAAACATCGAGAAAATGGAGATTGCTAAAGTTATGTAAAAGTATAATTAAATCATCTGTTGTTTTTATCTGAATAGTCATATGTGTAATTGTATCATTATTCCAATCATATGTAGATTCAAAAGATAAGATAATATTTTCTAATTTTATTTTTCTCAATGAATGAATATTTTTTGTTAAATTGTGAAAAGATTCCCCAACAGTACTATTACAGAAACGCGTGCTGGACGTTATATTCAGTTCTGTTAATTTCTTAAAAGACATTATATTGGATAAGAATAGATTTAATTCATCAGAATTAATATCATATAATGTAAGACATTCCAAATTTGGTAGCTTTTCATTTAAAGGCCATATTTGTTTTTTAAAAAGTGTTAGTGGATTCATTACTGGGTGATTATTTGAGAGACTGAGTGATTGTAGTTGTAAACCTAGATTAGTTTGGAATAATATATGACAATATTGATTAAATTGACAATATCTTATTCGAGTAAGATCTATTTGTTTTCGATAGTTATGTATTGTGGAATTTAAACGAGTATTCAAATCATTAAATGCGTAAAGAACATCGATACCATTTAAATACGAACAGATGATTAACAATAGTTCATCAGATAATATTTCGAATGACATTCTAATAACACACGATCAATATAATATCTAAAAAAAAAATTATTCTTTCTCTCAAATTTAACAAATGTTCGATGATAAAAAGTCAAATAATGTTTCTAAAGATCCAAGTTTATATCATATTTTGACGATTATGTATTTTAGTAACAGATAAGAACAAAATAATTGATTATATGACCAGTTTTGTTAATGCTGCATATGCATAGAAAAATATTATTTTCTTTTCTTTGTTCGTTGCACTGTGTCTTTTACCGGTTTTTATAATGAATTGTCATGTGCGTCACCTAACAAAAAATATTTACATACTTGAATTAGTCAGTAAAAACAACCAACGTCATTCAAAAATTCTAGCATGAGTAAATACTCACAATCGAGAAAAAAAAACTCTTTTACGTATTTCTGCTGGTAGAAAAAGAAAAGTAACATAAAAATTGTTCTTAACAATAATCACAACACAGAATTTTTGTACACATACAACCATAACTCATCCTGTGTATCATTATGCTGCATAATGATATGTTCGCAGTTACCTCAGTACCTTCATTAAAAAGGGCTATAAAAGCTTTAACCCACACGACAACTCTTGTTTGAATAAGAACTCACCTTACCAATCATGTCATGTCTCCAGTTATTCGATGAATCTAGATATATCAACGAATCTGTCCACGTTAACAAAGTAACAGGAATAGTAGGAACCATGGAACTAGTGGGACTCATAGTCCTATTAGTCCCATAGTTCAAACTAGACCTATAATTCGAGTAGTGCTATTGTTATGTTAGTCCCACTGCCCCGACATTTTAATCTGAAATTGAATTGTAATTTTATTTTCTGAATTCAATCTGAAATCAAATAGATCATTGTATGGAGGATATGCTCAGTGAAAAAGAAAAAATGTATATAGTATGCAGATATTCGCTTTCCAAAAGACTGATATGATATTGAATTAATTCTTTCATCATCGAGAGTTTTAAAAAATGATTTATTTATTTTAATTTAGATTAACTAGACTGATTTCGATTGTAAAAGTTGTAAATAATTTTATCCTTCATCTGTATCTTTTTTTCTTTATCTTTATTTTCTATTTGATTTATTAAGATTTGAGTAAATAGTCTATTTGTTTGGTTATTGTTGTTTTGTATAATATCACTATTTAATGATAGACTGAAAAAAGATATAAATGCATTTATTAAACATTGTTAAATCATTGTGTCAATCAAATATATTTAATGAAATATATTTGAAAAATCTTCTTCAAGAAAATTATTTAATTTAATATTGACTAATAAATAAAATAATATTATTGACAAGGGAGAAAAAGCTGAAAACTGAACTTTTTTAAGAATTTGAAAATTTTGAAATATTTGAGTGAAATTTCATGTTTT